CTGTTCACCTCCACCCTGTCTTCTCTCACGCACTCCCCATTTTCTTTTTTTTTTTTTTCCCCAAGTCCATTCCCCCTTCAATTCTTCTGTTTCCTGGAATTAAGCAATTAATAAGATCAGAGTTTTGGGGTTGTTTTTTGTTGTTTTTTTTTTTTTTTTTCTCTCCACAAAGCTTTGTCACGTGCCTCATCAAACTTACAGCAACTTGCAAAGAAAAATACCCCCTGGGAGCTGTTTAGGTGCTCTCCATGATTCCCATCTAGGGCACCCAGCCTCTTTCCTTTGCTGGTGTGCCCAGTGTCCTGGAATTGATAGGAGGGGACAGAGGAAGAAAAACCTGAGGAGGTGGGGAAGGAGGAGGATGGGGGGCAGACAAATAGCAAATGCTCAGGCAAAACAAGAGACGAAACAAGTTCCCCCACCCGCATTCTTTTCCTTTCTCTACCTCCCGAATAAGATGTACCTCCACAGACAGGGTCATTTCTGAGAGGAGGTTTTCCCCTCCAATTTTTTCCCCCTTCTAAGCTGGGACCAGTGCCTGTGCATGCAAGTGTGGGTTTGCATAAGCAGTAGAGGAAGCTTACCTATGAAAGCTGGTGGGCACCATCTCTGGGGATTCCTGCTGCCAGGTAAGATTTGGCTTTTCTTCTTCTTCTTCTCTTTGTTGCTTCACTTTTCACAGAGGATGTCTCTTAGCTGGGCTGATGGTGAGCAGTGTTTGTGCCCAGCCAGTGCAGAAGTGCAGCTCCTGTGCCTGTGGCAAAGGCTGAGGAGGCTTACTGCCGAGTGCAGGAGTTCCCCGAGGGGGAAGGATGTTCTCTGCCTGCCCGCACTTTGCATGAGCGAGGGGGCACTTCTGCAGGTGTCCCAGCCTGCTGAATGCCTGCTCGGGGACAGGGTGTCCCTGGAGCTGGCCATCAGGCACAGGTCCTCATGCCAGGATGGAGAGTGCCACTGCCACCCAGGCTGTGTCACAGGTGAGCCACCACCGGGCGTGCTTTTGGTGGGATGGAAAGCAGGGCCACCAGAGAGGGCTCCCACAGCCCAGGCTGTCCCTGGAGCTGGCCATCAGGCCAGGTCCTCATGCCAGGATGGAGAGTGCCACTGCCACCCAGGCTGTGTCACAGGTGAGCCACCACCGGGCGTGCTTTTGGTGGGATGGAAAGCAGGGCCACCAGAGAGGGCTCCCACAGCCCGGGCAGCTGGAGGCAGGGGTGGAAGGAGAGCTCTGAGCCCCAGCTGTGGGCCCAGAAGACACTCAGGGACAAGGTGTGACCACGGCCAGCAGCTGTCCTTCAGGCACAGTGTCACCCACCCGGCTCACTCAGCTGTTACAGCTGGAGTGCTGCCATGGATGGTCACAAACTCTTCAGCAGGGACAGGCACAGAGGGAGAGGCCGTGGGGCAGTCCTGTGCATGGCTCTAGGAGTTTTGATTCCTAGAGTTTAAGGACAATGACAACAGGGACAACTGTTTGTGGGTGGGAGTCGGGGGAAAGGCCGGCAAGGCAGATGTCATGGTGGGAGTCTGCTAGAAATACAGCACAGCAGAGAGGAAGTGGGGCCCAGGAGGTCTCATTAGATCTTATCAGGTCTTTATCAGGAGGTTCCTGCTGTGTGTGGAAGAAAACTGCCTGACACAGCTGGTGACAGAGCCACTGAGGGCAGGTGTCCCACTGGACCTGGTTGTGAACTCAGAAGGACTGGCAAGTGATGTGGCATTTGCAGGCTGTCTAGGGAACGGTGATCATGAAATAAAAGAGATTTAATCCTTGGAGAAGTAAGGAGGGGAGCTCAGCAAACTTTGGACTTGTGGAGGGAAGACTTTGGCCTGTTGAGGTTGACAGAGTTCCTTGGGAGGCAGTTCTTGGGAGGGGAAAAGGGGTCAAGGAAGGCTGGACACTCTTCAAGAAAGAAATCCTAAAGGCACAGGAGCAGGCCCGTGGGATCATGGCCTGTATCAGCAGCAGTGTGGCCAGCAGGACCAAGCGCTGCTGAAGGCACACCTCAAATCCTGTGTCCAGGGCTGGGCCCCTCACCGCAGGGACATCGAGGGGCTGGAGTGTGTCCAGAGAAGGGCAGTGGAGCTGGGGAAGGGTCTGGAGCACAATTCCTGTGAGGAGCAGCTGAGGGAGCTGGGGGTGTTTCCCATGGAGAAAAAAAGGCCCATGGAGGACCTGGTGGGTCTCTACAACTCCCCGAGAGGAGGCTGTAGTGAGGGGATCAGCCTCTTCTCCTGAGTTACAAGCAGTAGGACAAGAAAGAGCAGGTTCAAGTTGTACCAGAGAGGTTCAGATTGCATGTCAGGAAAGTCTTTCCTGGAAGGGTTGTCAAGGCCTGGATCGGGCTGCCCAGTGAGGTGCTTGAGTCACCATCCTGGGAGGTATTTTTAAAAGATGGATGGATGTGTCACTCATGGACAGAGTTTAGTGGTGGACTCTCAGTGCTGGGTCTACAGATGGACTCAATGGTCTTAGGGGTCTTTTCCAACCTAAACAATTCTATGATTCTATGGTTACATTTTTCTGGCATTCCTGCCATGTTTGGAAAGGAAATGTTTAGGCATTCTCTGTCCTCATTTTCTATGTCACCAGAGAAATATGGTAACAACCTGAGGCCATCCTTGGATAGAACCAGAGATGTCCCTCACCTCCCACTGGAATTGACAGACTATTAGGACTAGTCCCACTGTAACACCAACAGTGCCAAAAGAATCTGAGTGGCATATCTGTGATTACAGTGAATCAGCCCTGTGTGTTCTGGTTGCACCAAAGAGGAAGGATCAAAACTAGCAGTGCAGCTGGCTGTGGTTCAGCTGGGCACATTTCCCTGTGCTCTGTCTTGTGTTAAATTTTCCATCAGAGGCATTGTCAGGGCAACCAGACTGATGATCTGAGATACATGGCTGCAGGTGGCTCTGAAAACTACCAACTATATTAAAGCCATTATTCAAGAGCAACTGGGGATATATATTATATATATATATATATATATATATAGTGCAGGTGGGTCTCAAAACCACACAATATATATATATATATATATATATATATATATATATATATATCCTGTAGATATTAAAGCCTGTAGATATCTGTATATATACCTGAGGATATATTAAAACCTGCATGGACGTCAGGCCTTCCTTGCACTCTTCAATTTGACAGTCAGACAATAAATGTTAACAATTTTTATACTGTAATAACGTGAGCATAAGTGCTGTTTAAGCTCTGCTGTCCATTTGAGATTTGTTTCAGCTCAGTGGAACACGACGTTGCATGCTGCTGTCAAGCCTCAGTTGATCGTATTCCACCACCCCCACACCACCACAGCAATTTTTGTGTGTACTGACCAATGCTGCATGTGTGGTGCAGTGGAGGAGACCCTCTACACCTCTGCCCATCTTCTCTAGCTGGGAGGTGCTTTGCTTAGAGATAAGGACAATTCATTGAGCTGTGGTGCATATGTTTTCCTCTTCCAGGTTTGGGTTTTTTTTTCATTCCAAAATTACTGTAAATATGCAGAGCGTTTCAAGCCTTAGAGTGGAGGCTATTTGATGTGCTTACATGGCAGCGCACCTCATGTGATTGTCATAAAAGGATTTATGCTCTGAGGCACATGCTGGTTTTCTCCATTGTACAGGTTCAAAAGTGGGTTCAGGTTCAAAAGAAGACTTTTCCCAAGACATCAAGAAAATCAGAAGCAGAACAGGAAGAGGTGCAATGAGTGTTCAGCAAGCACAAAAAAAAGTTATTTTCTTATTACAAAAAAATCTCAACACTCCTTAGTGTTGATAAGGAAATACATTAGGGTTCCTGCAAGGACAATGTGAAATGCAAATATTTCTCTTATATGTAGTCACAGCTCTTATTTTAAATGATGGAGAGATCTTGGTGAAAATTTTGGTGTCACAAAGTCCTTTTGTCTTGTTCATATAAGAACAGCCTCTGAGCAAATCTTAGCATCTAAAGATATACTTTTGTTATTTTCACCTGTATTTCTGGTAAAACAGGTGCCTGTTTGGGAAGCCATGGAAACACATGCATCCATCTATATAAATATCTGTGTATATAGATATATACATAAAACCATACATCTTTTAACTTGTGTAAGATCTGTTTCTTAGGCAAACATGAGAGAACAGGAACTTTTCCTATTTATATTTTCAGGCAGTGTTCTGTAAAACACAGGACTGCCTAAAAGTGAACACAGAAGCTGATTTCATACATATTTTCAGATCTAATTTAGGGATTGAAATTAAGAACAAAGTACTGCAGTATGTAACTAGAGATTTAAGAATTGCTGGTACCTTTTGTTTTCAAAGTGCAGTATTTAGTTTTTCTTTACTTCTTTGTATTTACCTGCAAAGAAGCAAATTCACATTTTTCCCTGAAACAATTGACCACTGAGCCCTAAGACTCTATGTAAAATGGTAAAGGGAACTAAACCTCTTTATTCTTGTGTAACTCATTAGCTGAAATCAGACGATTAGAGCTAATGTTTCCATCTAAAACAATTCAAGTGCCTCATTAATGGGGATAGATTTCCTTTGATCTAATTACTTCATGTCCCAGATATATGGGAAACTCAGAGATCAGCACTGAGAAATCTCTGCAGACCTGGTCACATCCAGAAACGTGAATTTACATGTAGACTTCAGAAATGTTGTTTAAAATGATAATGAGCCTTGTTTAGTCTGCTGGCAATACTTGGCCAAATGTTTAATGAAATCACATTGATGATAGCCAGAGAACGAAGATGATGGCTGTTTGCTGAGTATGATTTAATCTCCATTATTATAGGCAAGTGGATTGCAAATTTCCATAATTAAACATCCAGTGCACTGGTCAGATTCTGTTGTAAAGTTTGGTAATTGCTGTTGTTGGGAAAACAGTCCAGCGGGGTGTTGCTGTCACATGATGAGCTTTTGAGGCTGAGCTAATGGGATGCCCTTTTAAAGTGTTCTCCATGTTTTCTGCTTTAGAGGCAGAGGATACCATCATGGAGATTTCATCAAAAGAAAATACTCACTTTTTCTCAAACAACACAATCCTGCCCGTGGACCGATCTTCATTCAAATCCGAATCATCCTCATCCAAGGAAAAGCAGTCGTGTTGTGGAGGTATAAAGGTAGAGTAAGAGCTTTTGAATATTCCAGTAGGGACTTACAAAATCTCTCTTTTTATTTATTTTTTCTAATGAATGATCTCTTTTTAAATTCTGATTATGTCATGTTAAGTCAGTACGAAATTATTAGATGCATTTCTAATTCACAAGAAAATCTTCAGATCCGTATTTTCCTAATGTTTGGCAGTCATCAAATATAATTTGTTGGCTGAGGCTTGCATATTGTGAGATCTTCAAGACCCATCCCAAAAAGTCCCTCTATCTTCCTTATTGCTCCACCTGAAGCTGAGAACAGGGCACTGGCAGACAGATGCCACAGGCAGCTGTCAGTGCAGGTTGCTTTTTTAAGATAGCAGCCATGGTATTCTGCTGGGGTTCCAAACTAATATCGTGTTATGGTCTGTGTGTTTCGAGTGCTGTATTATTAAAGCATGATTGTAATGCTCCTCATTCAAGAGAACTTGCATGAGGTCTCTTTGAAACTGCAGCACTATCACCACTTTATCTACACCTCTCTCACCCCCCAGAAGTTTTTGCTGGAGCAGGGACATCCCTGCTCTGAGCTTCACGATGTGGCTGTGCCTACCTGGTGGGACACGGGGCACAGCGGGCAGCACAAAGCTCTGCCTGCTGCCTCTGCCTCTTTCCCAACAGGCTGGCACTCTCCTGGTGAGGTCTCAAAATCACCAAGAAATGGTAAGATGATTTGAGTTACACGGAAAATGAGTTTTCGGCCTTGCCTCGTTCTTTTCATGGTGCGCAGTCTTTATTTCTGTTGTTTTTTCCACTCACTCAAACACACGTCTTCTTTCAGGTATTAATCCAACTCCCAGTACAGCCAGTGAAATGAGCAATAGTTGCCCTGAAGTCTGTAACTTTTGAATGGTTTTGTTTTGAAATGGAGGATGAGTTGTATTAAATAAATTTTGTACCGTAATATAATTCTGTCATTTCTTCTCCATTTGCTACAATGATAACCCAATTCCCTCAATGAAAAAAAAACTTCAATCACAGATTAGCCAGTCAGGCATCAGTTTATTAGCTCCAGAAATTGAAAAAAAAATATTATTTCAGCTCAGTTTCTTTCTCTTTAAAGAAGTTGTGTCTTCTAGGATGACATTATTAAACTGGTATTACTAATGTGTATCTAGGAACTAAGATATATTATATGATATGATATAATGTATATATGTAGGAACTAAGAAGACCTCTCTCTTTTTTTGGTGAACTAACACTTTTTGAGTTCTGATTAGGTCTTGCTGAGTCAGAATGAAATTATTAAAGATATGTCCAAGTCATGTAGAAGTCTGCTTCAGGTTTTGCCTAATGTGTTAAGAAAACAATATACAGATATAACAGGTTATTTTTACCATTTATCAACCTTTCTATGTCTTAAAATTGCCTTCTTTAACCAGAAATATGTGGTGAAATATCTGCTTACAAGCACTGACAAACCAGAGAAGAATGTGAAATCATGTGTACCTCTCTGTCCCAGCCCTAACTCAGGAGTGTCTTTCCACCTCTGCACACCTGGGACAGAAAAATCCCAGTAAGAAAATTTGTGCCAAAGACATCCAGAAGCATTTTAAGTTGTAGTTTACCTATACAATTTTCCTGGAAAAAAAAAAAACCTATGTGCTGTCACATTGCTATTTAAAATCCAAGGGCATAAGCATACAGGAAATGTAAATTATGATAATATTTGTATGGAGAGTCCTTTGAGAGATGCTGCTGTAGGAAAAAAGACACAGAGAGGGTTTGTATGTGCTTATTTACCCACAACTGTTTCTGAAGGAGGGATAAACAGCCCTGGATAAAGTGACACAGAGATATATCTGAACCTTAACACAAGAATTTGCATTCAGCAGTGATGTTATTGCCACTGTGCCCTGTCAGATGAGATGTTGTGAGATTTGCACTGGAGGTGAGTACATTGCTCAGAGCAGCTGCTTACTGGGAGTGTGATTGTCAGAGAGGATTAAGGAGCAGCACAAGGTTCTAGACTCCTATTCAAATAAAACCTTAACGTTAAGGTTTAAGTCCCTCTTAACTTCTGGGACTGGGTTTTACACAAAGCATCCATATTTGTATTCATTTGGAGTCAACACCTCCTGTATCTGAAGGTAGAAAGCAAAGTTGTGGTTTCCGTGACCTATTCCACTGTGTGGGAGTATCTGTGGAGCACATAAACTCAACTGGGCTGCATTCAGTGAGGGCAGATTGAGGCAATAAATCTGCAGGAACAAAGAGTTCCCTCTAAGGACCCTGCACTCCCACCACATGCACTTCAGACCAGGTGAATTTTGTGGGAAAGGGGCTCAGTCTGTACCTTTGAGGTACATACCAAAGCACTGTGAAGGGAGATGGAGTTTGGTTTCCAAAGCCCACTCCTGGTTCAGAAGGATGTGCTGAAACAGATGCAGTGATAGCAAAGAGAAAACTGCTTCTGCAAAACAACAGGAGGGGAGAAGGTGCAAAATGCAGGGTGCACTCTGAGGAAAATGCACGTGTTAGAGACTGCAGGAGAGCTTGTAGGGGAAGGATGAGCCTGGGAGAGAGTTGCCTGGCAGGTTCATCTCACAGAACATGTAACATATTTTAAAATGTTCAAAAACTCACCTCCCCACCAAGCCACACCTAGCATTTATCCATGTGGTTACTGGGTAAGATGCTCCCTCCTGAGAAAATCACAGGTTTCTGTCTTTCAACAGAGCAGTAGCTTTGGCATCTACCTGAAATTAGCAATGGTTGAGGGTCAATTCAGTTTTTATCAATATTGCTCATAAGAGATGAACAAATCAGTAATCTAGCATTTAACACTAAATAGGAGAAATATTGTTTTGGCCATTTGGCAAAAGAAGAGGTAGGAATGCAGAACATGTTTAAAAATAATTCATATATCTTCTGTACTGCCTGATTTTAATAACTTTTTTTTTTTTTTTACAGATATTTCTTGGTGCGTTGTCTTTTGTTTATTTTGCTAAAGCACTGTCAGGAAGTTACCTAAAAAGCACTATCACACAAATAGAAAGAAGATTTGACATCCCTTCCTCTTTGGTTGGTGTTATTGATGGAAGTTTTGAAATTGGTACGTGCTATAGAAAGCTATTTTTATTTTCAGAAAAAAAAAGAGTGATGCAGTTTGTTCTGAAGAATAATTGCATTAATCTCCCTGAAACTTAAAACTGAGCAAGATTCACCTGGTAAAAATAAGTGGGACTATCAGTATGATTTTCAGTAGGATAAGGTTGCTAACACAACCAATTCAGCATAGGCATAAAAAAAAATTGTAATTTGATAAGCTAAGCACGTGGCTAATTCATACTAATAGATGATTTAAGTGTTGAATGAGAATTTTCCTGCACGGATTTCTGCAGGCAGAAATCCACCTCCCCCACAAGTGTTTGTCCTTTGTGATCTGTTAAGCAGCAGGGGGACAAACCTCTAACTGTAATCCACATTTCTTGTCCAGTCCCTCTCCTTCCCTCTCACACTGAGGTTTCCAGCATGCCTTTGTCTCTTACAATTTCAGATCACTGAATTTATCTCATGGGTGTTCAGTGGACTGTGGTACTCATAGGAATGAAATCTTAGCCTAAGTGTGTAAAACTCTGTTTGATTCCTCCTTTTTCTGCTTTTCTGGTTATTTGCTCTCTCCATCAGCTGGCACAGGCTTTCTCTTTTCCAGCTGTTTATCCAAAGGTTTATGGTTTTCCTGTCACAGAAGGCATTGGGCTCCTGCAGAATGCCTGGAAAGAAGGAGAAAGACCATCCCCATCTGCCCTGTCTCCCTGAAATCAGTGCCTTACTACATACTGGGAATTGTTATTTTACAGGATCTCTTATCAACGAGCAGTAAAACTCAGCTTTCTTTTTGTACTCTCAAAGGGAACCTCCTAATCATAATTCTAGTGAGCTACTTTGGAGCAAAGCTTCACAGGCCAAGAATAATTGGAGCAGGCTGCTTAATTATGTCAGCTGGAACATTCCTAATTGCAATGCCCCAGTTCTTCATGGGAAGGTAAGTGCAAAGTGATCCCTGTTTTCCAGCTGGGCTGTGCACACTGAATGGCAGCTCCCTGAAACATTTAGGCATTGGTTATGATGATAGAAATAGGTAGAAATAGGCATATGGGGATGTGGTTACTTAATTTTTATTTTTTTTTTGTGAAAGGATTTATTGCTGTAGAGCAAATAATTTAATATGTATACTCTTTTCAGTTGTAATCAGCTTTTTTTAAAATTAGTCTCTGATCTTGACTGGCCACATTTTGGTGTGGTTTAGGAATTGCTGAAATGACAATAAAGAAGTGGTGACTAAACTCAGGAGGACAATCTCAGTACGAGCCAGAGGATACACCAGTGTCTGATAATCTCTTAGTCCAAATCCATGTATCATAGTAAAGTGCCTGTTAAACTGAAATTAATCACCTTTGCAAAAAGAACCAATGGGACAATCTCATGTACAGCTGCAGTACAAAGAGAGCTCTGTTTGTCCCCTGTAAACCACCACTGGCAATGGATCCAGATGGATTCTTATGGATGCAGATGAAATTTGCATTCAAGTGCTATAGCACTGTCTGGTGCTTACAGATCTGCTTGCTTTTTCTCATCAGTTCTTATGAATAAATACAACTTTGTTTTCCAAACAGATACAGGTATGAAAGATTCCCTTCCACCATCAATTCGAGTGTCAGCCTCTCTCCATGTCTGCAGGACAAAAACCAAACTCCACTCTCAGCCTTGGAGAAATCTCCAGCAAAAATAAATGCAGGTGAGAATTGTCTCTGTTAAATCTTGGGGCTGGTAGTGCTTGCTGTCATTCATGTTTCCCAAATCTTTCTGTCAGGAGATCCCAGTTTTGATAAGAAGGAATTGAAAGAGTTTTCTAAAAAGGGGTGTGGTGGCAAATTTATAAAACCAGCAAAACTGTACTATCTTTGAGGCAGCTCAGGCAAAGGAATTTTCTACCTTAAGCTATTTCACAGTTTTCCTACTGTTTCTCCCACAACAGAAGTATTTTAGGCGGCCTGAGCTTTCAGTGTCAAACTGTTACTACAAACACATCGTTGTTGTCTCTTGTTGTGCACACAGGGTGTGAAAAGGAAGCAGGCTCTTCCATGTGGATCTATGTTTTACTTGGAAACCTTCTGCGTGGCATAGGTGAAACCCCTATCCAGCCCCTGGGAATTGCATACATTGATGATTATGCTGTTGAAGAGAATGCTGCCTTATATATTGGTAAAATAAATATAATTTCCTTTTCCTAATGGATTTCTCCCCAGAGGAAACGGAGTCGTTCTGAATAATGGAATGAATGTTATTGAATTAACTTGCCCTGATTGTTTTGTTTGCATAATTTCCAATATTAAAGTTTATTTAACAGTCATGTACACTCAAGGGACCAAGTTCCCATTTAATTATACCAGCAGTTCCATTATCTTAATTTGGTGAAAGAATTTGACCTTGGGTTCCTGCTGTTATCCTAATCTTCCTAATTCTTCTGGATGTGGACTGCTGAGCTTCTGTGCACATTCAGTTCTCTGGAAAGTGATAAAAACAGGCACTCTTTTAAGCACTTAAAATAGAATTTCAGTGGGCACTCAAAACATTCCCTCCAGATTCATGTGGGATTACAAACAATAGTACTGAAGCTTTAGGAAGTTGGGATCACTGTTTTTTTTGTGTTCGTTGTCTGATGGCTGCACATTCACCTGAAGTATTACCAAAAAGTCCTATCTCATCAGCATCTGCTCCTGACAAGTTTCCAGCCAGGCAGAAGGCAAAAAATCAGATTCTCTCTGCAAAAGATTCAGTCTTCCCAGATTTCCGGGTGAATTTTTTCAAATTCAAAGTATTCAGAAAGTTTGGGTGAGGGTATATTGAAACATATTAACAGTGGAAACCAAAGCAAAGTGATTTCTCAGCCTCTTCAGGGCCTACCTCAACTAAAAATGATCAGTTAACTTTAAGAAATGACATTTGCTCCCCAGTTACTTTAGTCTTGTCGGCTAAAGCATTTCTAGCAATTGTGGATTGGTGCTGCTATTGAGTTCAGGCCATTCAGTTTGCTGACAATTTTTCCTTCAGTCTGAATATAATTCTTTAATTGGATAACAATAAAAAGTGTCATCATAGTGGGGAAAATTTTATTGATGACTTTTTTTCTTCCTGGAAATATTTCAATTTGTGTGACTGTGTCTCTCTTGCTGCCCATCACAATCTGCTGTCAGATGCAGAAGAACCAGTGCCCTTTTTTAGCTCAGAAGTGTAACAATCCCCTGTTTTCCCTTCCAGGCTGTGTGCAGACTGTGGCAATCATAGGGCCAATATTTGGCTTTCTCCTGGGATCCCTGTGTGCCAAACTTTACGTTGACATTGGCTTTGTGGATCTGGGTAAGTCAGAGCACTCAAGCTTTAAAAACCCATTTTAAAGGCTCCTAAATGCTTATTTTAGGCCAAGAACTCTCTGGTTATCTGCTAGGCATGAGGGGGTAGCAGGGGCAGAGTGGGCACTCTGTGAAATGAAAGGATGACAGCAGTGTGGGGGTCCATGCAGAATAGGCTGGCAAGGAGGATGGGTGTAGAGGAAGAAGGAGGTCTGACTCTTCCTCAGCCCCAGCAGATCTGCAGCAGGTGCCTCCAAGAGATGCTCTGGTAAGGAAGCTCTGGGGAGATCTTGGCAGTCAGGAGGAAACAGGAGTGAGGTTCAGGATCCTGCATGTGCCTTTTTAATATCCTGTTGTTGACTAGAAAAGTGGTTTGGCAGGGTGCAGATCTCCTGCTTGCTCTTCTGCGAAAACAATAATAATAAAAAAAAAAAAAATCAGGAGGAAAACAGGTTTTTTCCTGGGGTTTTTGTGCAGAACAGCCTGGCTGGGAGCAAGTGAGTGGCCACCTAGACTGCTCCACGTGCTGGTGCTTGCAGCACCTCTGGGGGTGTGCAAGTGGCACAGCAGGGTCAGGGCCAGGCTGCTGTGCCCCAGCAATCAGTGAGTCCTCAGCATGTCCCCACAGCTGCTCCTGTAAAACACCCACAGAGACACAGAGCACAGCTAGACCTACATGGAAAACCCACCCTGCAAACCCACCTTCCTTTTTAGCAGCACACGTCCTCCAGATGTGTTTATTTGATATAAAGGTCTCCTCCAGCCAGGTCTTACGAGCTCTTGGAGATCTATATCACACCCCAGATAGCTCAGCCACCTCAGATGGCATCAAATCAGCAGGATGGCTTCTGTGGCAGTGTTGGAAACAGAAAAGTTTTAATAAAAGCCAAAATAACAAAGCTCTTTACAGAGAAAAACTGAGCCAGGGGCAAGAGGTCCTTGCTCCTGGTAAAACACCTCACAAAAGCGATTTGTTTCTTTGTTCTCTCATTTTTCTAGTGAATTGCTTAGGCAGGACTTTTTGGCTTCTGTCCAGTTTGCTATCCTTTAGTTTGAGGTGAAGTCCCCAAGGTCCTATGAGATGTCTTTTTACCTAATTGAGGAGAGAAACTTCTGGGCTTTTTTTCTTTTTTAGGAGATAAAGGATAATTTTGTCACTCCATCAACAGGGGGCACATCCCTACATTTATTTCTTTTCTCTTTTCCACTTTCTGCAGACAGCGTCACGATCAGCCCCAAGGACGTGCAGTGGGTGGGAGCGTGGTGGCTGGGCTACCTGATAGCTGGGGTGATCAGCATCCTGGCTGGCATCCCCTTCTGGTTCCTGCCCAGGCACCTCCCCAGGCCCGAGAGCAGGAAGGACTCCAGCAGCTCTTCTGAGCACTCCAAGTTCATCATTGAGGAGAACAAGGACCAAGGCACCTCCTCTTGGCAGCAAGCGAAGCTTGCAGAGATGGCAAAAGGCAAATCACTTGAGTTTTCTTCCTGTTTGTTGAGTTTTTCTCTCAAAGGCTTTCAGACTTAAAATTTTTATACTTTCTGAGTCCCTGTTTTAATGGTGTCATTGGAGATCTATATCACACCCAAGATAGCTCAGCCACCTCAGATGGCATCAAATCAGCAGGATGGCTTCTGTGGCAGTGTTGGAAACAGAAAAGTTTTAATAAAAGCCAAAATAACAAAGCTCTTTACAGAGAAAAACTGAGCCAGGGGCAAGAGGTCCTTGCTCCTGGTAAAACACCTCACAAAAGCGATTTGTTTCTTTGTTCTCTCATTTTTCTAGTGAATTGCTTAGGCAGGACTTTTTGGCTTCTGTCCAGTTTGCTATCCTTTAGTTTGAGGTGAAGTCCCCAAGGTCCTATGAGATGTCTTTTTACCTAATTGAGGAGAGAAACCTTTTCTAGGAGATAAAGGATAATTTTGTCACTCCATCAACAGGGGGCACATCCCTACATTTATTTCTTTTCTCTTTTCCACTTTCTGCAGACAGCGTCACGATCAGCCCCAAGGACGTGCAGTGGGTGGGAGCGTGGTGGCTGGGCTACCTGATAGCTGGGGTGATCAGCATCCTGGCTGGCATCCCCTTCTGGTTCCTGCCCAGGCACCTCCCCAGGCCCGAGAGCAGGAAGGACTCCAGCAGCTCTTCTGAGCACTCCAAGTTCATCATTGAGGAGAACAAGGACCAAGGCACCTCCTCTTGGCAGCAAGCGAAGCTTGCAGAGATGGCAAAAGGCAAATCACTTGAGTTTTCTTCCTGTTTGTTGAGTTTTTCTCTCAAAGGCTTTCAGACTTAAAATTTTTATACTTTCTGAGTCCCTGTTTTAATGGTGTCAGAATTATGGTTTTTTCCCTTTCACTCTCCAGCTCCACAGTACACACAAAAAGGTCTCTTCAGTGTTCCCTGGACTTGCTATTGCATGAGAAATGGCTGAGATTTATAAAATTACAATAGTGGCCCAGCACATAGCATGAAGCTCTGCAAAAAAATTTCATTCACATGTAGTGACTGTTGCAGAAGTGGTGCTCAAAAAAACCCCAACCCTTGGTTTTTGCTAATTATTTTTTCCTGTAAGTTCATGAGTTAGGAAAACATGTACAATATCTGATCAGAATATAGATAGACACAGAGCAGCTACAGTACTAGAGGAGGCTGTCTGGATTTAGACAGGAGCTGGTTTGCACCACTGCATTTCCTTGGCCGTGCTTTGCCAAAAGCATTTTCCCTCAGAACCTGAATGTGCACCTCAATTTCTCTGTGCTTACTGTCAGCTGTGCTGAGCACTCTTTGCCCCAAATTAAGACAAATAGTGCTGTGGCTGTTGAGGAGACATAGAAACCAAATAATTCCTGGTTTATGATGGAAAGAAGGTATTTAAAACAAGAGATCTCTTCTGGGGAATTGATGCTTAGTGCTTTGCTCCACTGTTCCTCCCTCCAGAAATGGGGGAGCTGTTAGGAGCTTCAGCAGGGAACTTCACAGATTCCCTCTGAAATGTTTTGCAGTTTTGGGTTGTTTGGAAGGGGCACACATGTTACAAAGCATTACTCACAGCTGTTATTCTCTCTCTGGCACGCTTGTTATTTCTGCTGTTTTTTCTTGCAGACTTCTTGCCGTCACTGAAGAACCTCTTTGGGAATCCAGTTTACATTCTGTATTTGTGTGCAAGTATTATTCAGTTCAATTCTTTAATTGGCATGGTGACATATAAGCCAAAGTATATTGAGCAACAGTATGGGCAGACATCTTCAAAAACTAACTTTGTTATAGGTAATGCTATATCTGCTTCTTGATATCTTTAAAATGGACATTTTAGAAGTGGCATATACATATAGAAAAAATGTATTTTTTTAGGGTATGTTCATTTCTTCTCCTTCCTTGTCTGACTTTAAGTATTAGCTCATAGAAGGTAAGTTATTTCATTTCTGCTTTAGCACTAACTAACTCTGAGTTTATCTATGCAGGAGTTACTGCAAAAGTTTACAGGATTTGATATCTTAATTCCCATTTCACTGGAAATTTGAAAAGTAATTTATGTACAATGCAAGAAAATAATTGAGAAATAATTTTAAAACATTTTACATAAATTTATTCATCAGACAGATCTGATGCCTTTATGGCTTCCCATTTATTTCAACAAAAATAAAAGATCAGTTCAGTGGGTGCTGTGGGTGACTCTCTGCAGAGATTGGTGTTAAATAAAAGGGAGACAAGTCATATCCCAAGCTGTCCCTTACAGCACAAGAGAGAAAAGCTGCTTCAGCCTTTGGGTTACAGAAATCAACATTTTTGTAGCTGACTTCATGAAGGTGGACTGGACTGCCCAATTCTCGGTTCAGCTCCAGAGGTCCAGGGCTTCAATAGCATTAACAGCAAAGAGGTTTACATCTCCCCACCCCAGAGGGAACTGCCTCGTTCCAGAGCAGCATTAGTTGCACAGCAACAGAGGTATATATGTGCAGAAAAGCTGTAATGATCCATTGTGCTATGTTAATTCCCTTCAAGATAGAAGCTGGAATTTCCTGGCACGAAACTCCTCAAAGCGAGGAGAAATCTTCAAGTACAGTTGATGGCCAAAGAAAGTCCAGAAAACAATCCCTACATTCAGTATAGTACTTCTCATTGTATTTAAATATTTTCTGGAGCTAAGCTTTCAGGTATGTACGAACTGAGTGAGGATTAAGAACCATTTGATTTCTCTGAGCAGGACTGTATCCAACAGAGAGTGTGTGATGGCTTGGTTAGGGAAGGATCCTGCTGAGTGGCTGTCCCTGAAATAAGGTGATTTTTCTTCCTCCTTTTCCTTTCTCTCCAAATCCACCCTTCCTAGGAAACCTGAGGGCTGACTCAAACTCACAGTGCTTATTTCTCTTTCACAACCTCTTTTACTTTCTTCTTCTTTAAAAAAAAAAAACCCAAAACAGTTTCTATCACAATCTGAGATATCAAAATTGTCAGAGCAATTTGAAGCAATAAAAAAAAATTAAAAGGCAGGTCTTGCTCTGGCTTTCATAACATTAGATAAAACTAAATTTGTCCTCTAGGAATCAGCAGATGACTCCACTGGCAAACTAATTGTGGAAAAAAAAAACACCTAGCTTAAGAAATTGGAAGAGCATTATCTAAACTTTATCCATAATCTCTCTGTCAAAGAACCAGCATAAAACATGACCTTGGGAGTAAGTTTTACAAAGCACCTAAGGTCCCAGCACCTTTGTAACACTCCAAGGATCAGTCTAAGTCTGGACAAAATGAGATGTCCTCCCTGAAGATCTTTTATGTTTTGCTCCTTCATCGGATTGCTGCAGCTGTTTTTGTGGCTGACAAGGTTAGTCCATTGTGCTGGGGTTTTCATTAATACAGAATTTTCTGTTTGATTTCAGGTCTTATTAACATTCCTGCTGTGGCCTTTGGCATATTCTCTGGAGGACTGATCATGAAGAGGTTCGGAGTCGGTGTTGTAGGGGCTGCAAAGCTTTCCCTGGGATCATCTTTCTTTGGTTACCTTTTGCTGCTCTCGTTGTTTGCCATGGGCTGCGGGAACTCGGAGGTGGCCGGGCTGACCGTGTCCTACCACGGGTATGCTGGCAGGGCAGAAAGGGCTTCTGCAAACCCAGCTCCTTCCTCATTTTGTTTCACAAAGTAGGTCTTGTTGAAAAGAGAGTGGCTGACCTGAATGTGCTTCCCAGAAATTGGATTCAAATCGGTGGAAACCACTCTGTTACAGCGGGTGTTGTGTCATGGCCCTCTCATGATTGTGGCATAAACCAGTGGGGTTACTGTCACAAGTGCAGATTATTTTTCTGATTACTTTTTAATTATTATTGCCATGGGACCCATCCTTTGAGCCCAGTGACTCCTGGAAATGTGAGTAGCTCAGTAGGGGGGAAGAGATTCAATTAATTGTTTCTTGCCTTTGTGTGCCGCTGAACAATGAATGGCATTTAATAGCCTTTGAATGCAAAACTTGAGGATTCATGGATTAACCATGATGTTAACCATGAGTTATACCTGAGGCTAACATTTTACCCATACTATTACTCTGTAAAATTAACTTTTTGGGAGGAGTTTCCAGCACTGACTCACAGCAGCTGCTCCACTGGTGTCTGATGACTGAATTAGGCAGAGTTGTCACATAAGGTATCAGACTCTCAGTTTGGATGGATCCCATTCTGATCAGTTCCTTGCTGACTTCTACAGAGACCATTTCCCCTGAGTAACTCACTCCTTTCTGTGCCACTTGCCTAGTTGTGTTAAAGCTGCATAACTAAAACCTTAGAAAATCTGAGAAAATGCATGAATATAAATTGCTAGTCGTCCCTCTTAATAAAGTAAAGATTTATCTTGGTGGTGTGATAGTGTGAAAACCTTTGAATAAAAGAGAAATGAGGATTTACACTGCTGTGTGGATGTGAAGAGACAAACTTTTATGGGCTACAGAGGGAAGGTGTGGCCAGGTGCTCCTGGCAGAGAGCATCACCCTGGAGGTGATGCTGGTTTCATGGTTTTCCGTGGTTCACATCTGCTGGGCAGCACCTCTGCAGCTTCTCTTTTTTCCACAGAGCTAAACCGATGAGTGACCACGAGCAAGCCCTGTTTTCAGAGTGCAACTCGGGCTGCTCCTGCTCCAGGAACGACTGGGACCCCATCTGTGGGGACAATGGGGTTACCTACGTGTCCGCTTGCCTCGCCGGCTGCCGCGCGTCCAACGGCACCGGGAAAAACACCGTAAGGCAATCCTCCTCTTTCTTTCTGATACACAGCACAGGGAAAACCACCATAAAATCCTTCATTTCCCTGTGAGCTGGGGTTGTTCTTTCTGATACAAGGCATAAGACAATCCTTCGTTTCCATTTGAGGTGGGATCTTTCTTTCTGATACAATGCACTGGGAAAAACACCGTAAGACAATCCTTTATTTCTCTGTGAAGTGGGATCTTTCTTTCTGATACAAGGCATAAGACAATCCTTCATTTCTCTGTGAGGTAGGATCTTACTTTCTGATACACAGCACAGGGAAAACCACCATAAAATCCTTCATTTCCCTGTGAGCTGGGGTTGTTCTTTCTGATACAAGGCATAAGACAATCCTTCATTTCTCTGTGAGGTGGGATCTTTCTTTCTGATACACAGCACTGGGAAAAACACCGTAAGACAATCCTTTATTTCTCTGTGAAGTGGGATCTTTCTTTCTGATACAAGGCATAAGACAATCCTTCATTTCTCTGTGAGGTAGGATCTTACTTTCTGATACACAGCACTGGGAAAAACGCCATAAAATCCTTCATTTCCATGGGATCATTTTTCTGATACAACCAGGTCTGTCAAAGTGGATTTAAACTGAGCACAGCACATCCTCTTCAGCCCTGAACTCCCCAGGGATTTTTAGCAATCTGGCAACCAAATTTAAAATCTTTTTGCTTTGCTGTTGCCAGAAACCACAAGCAGAGAATGTTGGAGGCTTTTTTTTTTTTTAACTGTTGGAAAAAACCCTAATAACTAGATTAATCAACAGTAGATACTTTATAATTTTCTCCTTCATTATATAAACCTTTTCCTTTTATAAAACATTTCCCACTTTGGACATAAACTTTCAGCCATCCAAAATGTGCAATTCCTAAACATCCACTTCTCCACCATTTAGGTTTTCATCCACTTTTGTCTGCCCTCTTCCAGGTATTTTTTAACTGCAGCTGCGTGAGAACCTTTGAATCTTCACAAAGCTCCTCAGCTGTGGTGGGACCATGTCAAAAAGGAAACGAGTGTCCCAAAATGTTTCTGTATTTTCTGGTAATATCAGTTATCACTTCATACACTTTGTCAGTAGGTGGCACACCTGGATACATACTGCTTCTAAGGTAAGAAATAATTCCTGCTAGCACTGCCAAATGTTTTCAAAGTGCTTTGACACATGACTGGTACTCCCTCCCCTCCTGCTGTTCCTAGTATTGGGAAATGTTTTGCAGCTATGCAAGGTGGCATATTCCATATAATTGTTCGTTTTCATGTTTTCAAAGTGCTTTGACGCATGACTGGTACTCCCTCCCCTCCTACTATTCCTAGTATTGAGAAATGTTTTGCAGCTATGCAAGGTGGCATATTCCATATAATTGTTCTCTCCCAGATTTTTCTCATTGTTTTAATGATCGTTTTAGCATGAGATTTTTTTTCCTGTTTCCTAATCACAGATTTATTAAATGCTTGTCCCAGTGCATATTTAACTGCTGGAACTATTTGTCCATCACTGTAAGCTTTGAAGCTAATTTTAGCAAGTGCAAAAACATTTAATACTACAAGTGCTTAATCTGGATTTTTGTCAGCTACTTGCAATGTTTGGATTCAAAGTCCTGCTCTGCTCTGTTTTGGAAACCTTTTCTTCTCAGTTCCTTTTTCCAAATTATTTCCAGATGGGCACATTCTACTTCTCAAACAAAACAAGAGTAAATCCAGTCTAACTAACCTTTAGTATTATAGCTGTGTTTTCTTGCTCCCAAATTCTCTTTGGTTTTGAATTCAATTGTCTGGACCAGGCCCTGTCTCACTGCTGGTATCTGTAGCACATGGACCATGCCAGTGTTAGAACTGGCTGAACATAGAAAAACCTAAATAAAGGATTGTGATTTCAGCTACAGTCCCATCACAGTCCTTGAACCAGAATAAATATTCACACAGAAACTTTGAGAAATGGCTGAGGAGAGGATCCTTCTCCACAGCCCTGCACAAACTCTGCCAGTGAGGTGCACACAAGCTGCACAGCTTTCCTCACACACCTTGCAGGGTTACCACTGAGTGCTGCAAAACCTCAGAGCATCTCTCTCTCCCCGACGGCTCTCTCCAAGAACAATCACTCTGTAATCCATTTTAGACCATTTTTACTGAAGCTCCTGCACAACTGAGCTGTCCCTGTGCCAGGATGGGGATGATTCATGAGTGGAGAGCTTGCAGCAAAGCCTCAGGGTTTGTGCCAGATTGCTCTCTGTGGTTGCTTCTGACACGCTGGATAAATATGGGCACAGAGCTCCTTTCCCTCTACATCAAATCTTCCTTCTATCCATAAAACACCTGGTGGAAAATGTGCAGATCTGGTGTCTAACAGGGCCTCAAAATTGTGGCAGCCATGCTCAACCTCCTGCTTTCTTCTTGTCTCCACTGCATAAAAAGTTGAGTGTTTGGGAGATGTTTATAAGTGAACACGTGCAAGCTCAAATCACACGGAGCTGCCTACCCTTCTCAGCCCTAAGAACTTGCTCTTGGTGTCTTGCTGCTTAATCCATTTAGTCAGAAAAGCTTAGGAAGGTTTTCTTACTAAACCACTTTCTTATATGAAATCAGAAAAGTTTTATTGGTTCTGCTCCAATGCTTTTATTGCTGTTGAAAATCATTTCACTTTGAGAGACATTTAACTGAAACTGAGAAGTTTTGTGTTTCCCTGCTGGATTGGAGGCACCCACCTTTGATGTGCAGCTAAATAAAACATGTTTCAGTAAGTTCAATCCTTTTTTATTTTTTTTTCTCCTGCACTGCAAGTGACCTATGGGCACAGCTCCACTTTAAGCTCACTTTAAAAACTTGCTTTTGTCTTTTTTGAAATCTATCACTGACTAACTTTCTCAAAAATCTGGCTGAACTGAAAGTGTGCTTCTGTTACCAGAAGGAAAATAAATTTTCCTTGACACAAATAGCCCCAAGGTCAAGTTTCAGGTTTCATTATGTATTTTTTCCAATAATCACTTTTTAAAAATATTCAGTATTCAGTCATCTCTGTTAAGATTCCAGCACTTAAGCAAGCTGATGTTTTCAGATGAGCAGATATCATTGCACCTGCCATGGAGGACAAAAGCAGCTAAATCCCTAAAAGCCTGTAAGATGTAGTGACATTTACTTTGATGGTTTGCACACTGAAGCCATTAAAATACGCTTACAGCTGGTGACCAAGTCAATTGCTGAAATGTCATTTTGGTGGTATTAGTGTAATTACAGTAGCCAAAGAACTTGGGAAAGCCCTGAAATTTTTGAGAAAAAAGCCCTGCAGTTCAGATAGCTGTTGTTCAAGCACCAGCTATTAATAGCAGGGGATTAGGCAGTGAAAAGGAAGTCTCAGATCTCCCTAAGAGGTCTGGCTATCACTCAGGATCACAAAGAGCTCCTGTTTCCTTGCAAAGACAATACAAAGAATAAAACAATTTTTTTTTTCATCTGAAGGAGAATATTTTTTTGGAGGATATAAATCCTGTGGAACACATATCAAACATCCAGTTATTGGTTTTATTTTCCACTTTTTGCTTTCTATGCCCTCAGATTTGTTTAGAGGACTCTAGGCTGAGGAGTGCTTGTGGAGCAGGTGTCTAGTAGGGGAGCAAGACATTGTTCTTCCAACTTAAAGTCATTTTACAGTCATGCCCTCCTAGATGGCAGTGCTTGTATAAGCCACAATCAACAGATTGTGTGGTGATAATCCATGGCCAGGGCATTAGAGAATAAAGTGTTGAAAACCACCCCTGGAGAGGAACAATAGAGTTAATTCTGAAACGTCTTTATTATTTTTTAAAACATATTCCCAATTACATTAATTTTTGCAGGAGCAGGGTCCACCCTAGTTCAGAGACTGTATCTCCAGAGTGCTATGTTCATCCACAGCCCAGTTCATTTTTTTAGGATTTATATTGAATATGAAAGTTTTATTAATCACCATATTGATATATGTGTTACCCCACAGACCAAAAATGTCCTTGTTTGACCATGTGACTGGTACTACCACTTGCCAAAATCAAACATATGCCCAGATTTGTGCTGGATTAGGCACTCTAGTAGTCTGGTACCTGCTGGAGGAACAGCAGGTTGGAGCAGCTGGTGGGGGAGAGGTGATTCCTGTCAGTCTGAGAGGCTCCATGCACAGCCTGCTGTTCCCCTGCCCACCACCTCCCCCTTCCTCAAGGAGCCAGGGTGATGATCCAAGGCTGGAGCAGGGCTCATCTGGAGCCAGAAGAACTGGATGTGTGTGTGGGACTCACCCTGCAATCTCAGCAGGGTCCAAATGCAAAAATGCTCTGTCAGAGAATGGCCTGGAGGATTTACCTTTGCAGGAGGTGTGATCCTGATCTAGATAGGTGTAATGAAAAGTGAGTGCCTAAATACCTTGTACTAGTCTGGGACTTGATCCTGAATTTCAGGGAGCATCTGACTGAATAAAACCAGCCAATGGGTGCATGATTTCATTAGCAGTTTTCTTGTCCTATGTTAGTAACACCTAAGAGCTGATATCATCTGAAAATCCACAACCATCTTAAAATGTTGAATATAGATGTTCAGAATTTCTAGATGCTGTTCTGTTTTTATCACCTTTTTTACATATTTCAGCAGTTTGGTCAAAGTCCAGGACATTAAAGAGGAAAAGGTCACATTTCTTTCCTTTCTCCTGCTTTCTATTTGTGTTCTAATTATACACACCTGATGCTTTATTGCTAGTTAACACCTCTTTTATTATTATTATTTTCAGGTGCATTAAACCCCACTTGAAATCATTTGCACTTGGTATCTATACCCTGGCAATAAGAGTACTTGGTAAGTCCATTTGTGCTCCTGAGTCAGTTTTAATACACCCCTCACTAATCATTTATCTTAGAACTAAGCTTTGATTGTTGGCAAGAACAGTGTCTATCTGCAAACAGATATCATATGATTTAAAGAAAAAAAAAAGGTTGGAAAAAGGAAGTTGCTTTGTACTTCATAAATCACATAATTATATCTTAGTTGTAATTAAAATACACAAGGCCAATATTTATAGAGATGTGATCCTGTAGATTATGAAGCTAACATCAAAATTACATCTTCTCCCCTTACTCGGCAACAAATGTAATAGAACAGCTGTGGCTGAGAATTTGTGATTGCTTTTCAGGCATACATTCATTAGTTTCTAAGGGAATTAATGTGACTGACTACAGGTGTGCGTGGGGACAGGGTTCACTGCAGCCTTGTGGCAGAGCCACCTGAAATCAAGGGTAACATAATGAACTGGAAATTCTAAAATCCTCTAGGTCTTCATGAAAAAAAAATAGCAAGAAGAAAGTGCCCTATTTACCTGAGCAGAGTTAGATGAACTGGGTGAGATTACATCAAAGCAAGCTGCTGGCTTCTTTCTTACACCTTTGCAGGCCAGAATTTTCTCTCCAGGCTTAGATTCTCCTCCAGCAGCCCAGGTGACACAGAGTGCAGGATGTCCCCATCAGCACGGGTAAAAAGGCTTTTCCTTCCCATCAGCCCCAAGAACTGCAGTAGGTTTGCCCCTGCCACAGTGGGATCTCAAGATACTTGGAGGATTCCTGCAGCCCCACTGTCTCTGTCCCTTCTCATCCCCCCCCAACACAAAGGACATCCCTACATCCAGGCTGGACAGGCTCCATTGCTCTCAAGAAAGGAGAATTATCTCCAATATTTTTTTTTCCCCCAGAGGTGTCCCGCAGGGTGAGGAAACCAAACCATGGCCAGTACTCCTTCCAGGGACTTCCACAGGCTTTTTGATGTTTTGTCATGTTTTCCTGGCTTCCCACAGGGAGGAAAGGGTGGTGTGTGCCTGGGCAGCACAAGGCACGTCTTCCCCAACCAGCAAACAGTGTGCAAGTGTCATTGCTGTCAGAGTGTATTATTGAATGTTCTGCATGAACCTGCCTCTAGATCAAAACTGATCACCCTGGAAAGTAAATTTCTTACCTCTGTTTGTTTGTTGAATACACCCAGCGGGGATTCCAGCCCCGGTGTATTTTGGAGTAGCCATAGACACCACTTGCCTGAAATGGGGAAGCAAAAGATGTGGGGGAAGAGGAGCGTGCAGACTCTATGACTCCAGTGCTCTCAGGTAACAGCTCTTCTCCATTTGTTCTTTACCTTTTGTTCTTCAAGTACTTCTACACCTGGCACTGGTAGAAGAATTTCTGCTGGAAAATTTGAGTGAAAGATTTGAAACTGATTGAAAAACTCTGACTAACAAATTAACAAAAATGCTCACATTTCACTCTTTTGACTCAGTCTCTTTTTTGGGGGGAAGGGCAGATCATCTTGTTTCAGTATCAGCTGGAAACAATTATCACTAAATAATTTACAAAAAAAGAGTTGTGTTGAAACCTCAATTTTATGCTAAAGCTTCCGTCAGATTTCAATATCTCCGCTGTCATAATGTGTGTATAAATAAGTTATTAAACCTAAATTTTCTCCATGTTGGAGCTGGATCAAAAAATGGAAGGCAAAGGTGCCACAAAACATGCTTGGCTTATCTAGAGGCTTAAGTGCAAAGTTGTCTTTATCAATTTATTGCTAGAGGACAGTAATTGTCTGAACTGCATTTGTGAAAGACTTCTCCAGAAATGAAGAATGGAATAACAGTGGTAAGAGGAAAATGGGATAACAGGTTGTCCCTTCTCCCACCCCAAGGAAAATAAATATGAGAGAAGGGTACATCTTGTTTTGAAAACTTGAAGGAAAGAGCAAAATCTCAGCTGGGACTCTTTTGCTAATAAAACATTATGATATTATTGTTGCTGCTGTTGTTGCTGTCATTATGCCTGTAAAGCCAAAATGCCATCAAATGGTCTTGTCATCACCGGTATTGTTTATGTATTAAAAAATAGAGTAACTGCCCCAAAAATATTAGTGCTATTCTTACTGAGACACATTGAGGTGGAGGTCAGCCAATGCCTGAGATGCTTTCTTGAGCACAGACCTCTCTCTACCTGACCTGGGCGAGCTGACAAACTCCCCTCTCCTGAGTCACCCCCTTGACTGAAGATTCCTTAGCCAGCCTTACCTGATGAAAAGATGAATGTGTCCTTGATGCCTTCTGGTGGTGTGTTGCCTTTGACGTGGGCTCTGATCAATCATTTCTCTCTCAGGTATGTGTACCTGGGGCTGACTTTGGTCTTGGGCATGGTGTCCATTTTCTTCAGTGTTGCTGTCCTTTGGGTTCTCCGAAAAAGGTCTTCTCCACAAGATGAGACCCTCTCAGCCAACGGGGAGAGAGGCGCCTGTGGGACAAAGAGCAGAAAAGATAATTTTGTCCATAGTGACCAGTTAATTCAGTCAACTTACTGGCCAGAAAAGGAGACCAGACTTTAGGAAAACTGAGATCTCCACCGTGATTTTATCCAGTGAGTGGTGTTCCAGGCAAAAATCCATCATCAGTGAAGCAGTATCTTAGTAGCCACCCTGAAAATGTTCACCCTCTTTCAATTTTCACTGTGAACCCCAAAAAGCAAAGACCACCAAATTTTTAGCACGTGAACAGCTCTAAAAACACTGCTCACCGTTTTTTTCTGCCGAGTGAGGGGATTTCTTCCAGCTGGGGAGGTGCAGCTGTGCCCTCACCCAGACACCGTTTTTGCGGCTGCCCCTGAGCTCCCTCCCTGCTCACGGAGCTGCCAGAGCTGCTGCTGCCCCTCGGTGTCCCCCTGGGTGTGAGGGGAGGCTGCTCCCTCTGCCATGGCACCAGCCAAGAGCAGCCAGGGCACCAAACCCGACTTGGCCACCTGGAAGGTGGAGGGATCTCCAGCACGGAGCCCGTCCTGGCCAACAGCGAGGCACGGGGCAGGAGGAAGGAAAAATGGAAGGAAAAACTCAGCCACAGGCTCTGGGCACCCCATGAGTTCAATCCATAACACGTAGGATGTCGAGTGTTGTGGTTAGGAATCCGTTTTTCCAGTAGGTTTTGTTACAGCACAACGATCAGCAGTAGAAGTTGTTGTTACAAAGAGGCCACAAGAGTACCATCCAAAGGAAACTGGAATGAAAATAGAGCTTTTTTAGATTTCCAGCAGTTTCTTGCTACTTGCTAGTACTCAGTGTACTAAATAATTCCATGCACTTTATGATGTAATAACAAAAATATGCAAGATACATATGATTTATATTTTAAAAAGCTATGACGAGACAGCTTGGGAAAAATAAAATTAAAATTAACTAAAAGACCAGGTGACTTGGGGCTTTTCCTTTTAATTTATTGTATTTTCTAGCTGAAACTAAGACATTTGTGGGGGTTTGTCAATATTTGATATTAATTATATTTGGGGTGGGGAGTGCAAAGGAGAGCTGTTTGATATGGAAAAAAAAAAATCTCAAGGAAGCTTGCAGTGGAAAAGATGACAGTGGCACCACAGGGATATCCTTTCAAGCAACAGAATTTTTGAGCACGTGGTGAAATGTAGACTTCATCCTTCACCACAACATTGGCAAAACAAACCCATATCACATAATTTGTGTCACAGCAGTGACCCTGCTGCCTCGCCGGTGGGGTGCATGAGGAGGGGAACACGTGTAAGAGTGGGATTCCCTGGGCTTTGTCAATGACCAGTGATCAATGCCTGTTCTAAACCCATTACTGGGGGAAATGCATTTGTCAGAGGAAGAGCCAATGTCACCCAGATTTGCCACGTGGGTGAGTGTTTGGCAGTGGAATTTGGAGACCCAGTTTCCAGATCTTTGTCCTCCCAGGGGAGTGTCAGAGGCTATGGGCAGTGAGGTCCTGCATGTCTGTGGCTGTTCACACTGGGTTCAATACCACTGGATATTGAACTAAACAAATATCATTAAAATAATCTGGAGGTTTATGAATGTGAGAATAAGGCAAGAGTTGCGGTTGGGGTGAATCACAAAGATTGGCAGTCCTATATCAGGTGTCATTCGTATTACACCATCACAAAAACAGCAAAAAATGTCAAACTGCACCAGCACCCAGGAGTGAGAGCAATGCTGGGAGCCTTCCACAGCCTCCTGAGGAGGGCACTTCCCACTGAGATGAGCTGTCAGATCCCATGAGAGAAAGCAGGAGCCCAGCTTAAGTGCACACTGGCATAAAAAAGGAGAGATGGTGTGTGTGTGTGTGTAGCAATGGGGGTGATTCCTGCTCTGTGAATCAGTGGCAGCTCTGCACACACCTGGCAGCAAGAGGGCCAGGAAAATTCACTGGTTTCACCTGGGAGAGAGGAAAGTTTATTCTCAGGAGCTGGAAGAGTGCTGTGTTTTGGATTCAGTAGGAGAATGATGTCGATAACACACTGATGTTTTGGTTGTTGCTGAATTTTGTTTACCCCAAGTCAAGGACTTTCCAGCTTCCCATACTCTGCCTGGGAGAAGCTGCACGAGAAGCTGGGAGGGAGCTGGTCCAAACTAGCCAAAGGGATATTCCCTACCCTGGAATGCCATTTCCAGTATATAAACTGGAGGGAATTGGCCAGGATGAACCAGTAATTGTTAATGAACTGACTGGATATCAGTCAGCAACCATATAGACAACTTTTTGATGCACTTTCTCAAGTTTTGTTTCTCTTTCTTTTTTTCCTCCCTTTTCATTGCAATTATTATTATTCTATTTTATTTCATTCTAATTGTTAAACTGTTCTTAACCTATGGGTTTTACCTTTCTTTTTTTTTTTTTCAATTCTCCTCCCTGTCCCTCTGTGGAAGCAGGGTAAGCAAGCACCTGCATGGTATTTAATTGTTGGCTGGGGTTAAATCACAACAAGCAAGTACAGAAATTAAGATAAATTAATATATCCTACTCTAGTTCAGAAAGAAGCAAGGACAGAAAAAATCAGCTTCATGGGTTATCTCCTGTGGCTATATATTAAGCCTGTACTTGGTGAATAATTCTTTACAATACAGCTTTCCTTCCATAACCCATTTTCTTTACACGTAAGAATACCAGAAAAGAATTTGTTTCAGTAACTCTTATTTGCACTATACTTTGAAAATGTCCATTTTTCTCCTCCCTTCCTTCAGCTATGATAATCCTGTAAGTTAGCAAGCAGACAGAAACCATTCCCACTTTGAACTATTTTCGAGTCTGCTACTTTATTTTAGTGCTTTTTTTTTAAAACATGGATGCCTGGCTGAGTGTCTGACCACAGATGCACAATCTGGACTTGTTATAATCCTTGAAAAAATTATCTCAGCACTATTTGGATCTGTGAGCATCTTCCTACCAGAATTCTTCATCTTAAACTGTATCTGCAACTTGATGCTGTCGCACCAAGGTCAACAAACCTGGATCTTTCTTTTCTTTTTAGAGTTAGAGATACTAAACCGCAGCCAAGAGACTGCAAAGGAGCCAACACCTTTCACTTTCAAAGGTGAGACTGTTAAAAGAATTAGCTGAGGGGATTTCCCAACCTTTGCTATCAGCCTTGGAGGCCAGAGTGGGACTCACCCCCTTGTTAAGAAGCTCTGTGTGCCACGTAAAGTTGGGATATTATAGCAAGGTCCCCAGCTGGCACCTGCAGGACCAGGCTGGGCTAACCAGGCCATGCCACACAATAAAACCCCACGAGCCAAAGGCACATTTCCTCTCCTCCCTCCCAGGAAAAAATGCCACTCTCAAATGAAATGATGTCTTAGTTATAGGCACATCATTTTTAACCGTGTCAGGAGGGAATCTTCAAGAACTTCTAACACATAAAAAGGCAAGATCAGAAGACTGAGGGAACAATGCATTTATATATATATATATATATATTTAAAACATATAAAATATGGCTAATATATAAAATATAGCTATAGAGTTCATGCCATCCCAGCATCTGAGGGAATTACCAAAAAACAGACAGCAAGGGGTGTGGCTATCTCAAAAAGAGTAAACAAGCTGAATAATTATAGATTGCCTCCTTGAAGTGCTCAAAATAATGAGGAAGATTGATGTATGAAAGCACTATTGCAATATTTTGAAATAACAGCAGAATTGGTATCATCTGAGAGAAAACACTGACAGCACCACTTTGATTATGACACAACATGCAGCTTAATTCTGCAAAACAATAAAAGAAAAGTTACTAGAAATTCTAGAAGCTATGAAGTGCATAGACTTGCAAGCAGCCAGGTGGCAAGGGTATTTTAAAAGCATTTTCACATAGGCAAACATTATTAATAATTATTAATAATCTAGCCCAAAGGCTGTTGCCTAGAGGGCAGCTCTGACCCAGTCTGGTTGTCTTTTTTTGTGCCCTGGAGCATCACTAAGCAGGTGCTGCATGAGGCAGTTCCTAATCAACCTCTAGAAGACAAAAAGTCCATAATTGCTGTAAAAATGATGTTGGGCAATTTAAATGCGGGGCCCTTTAATGGTGATTTGAAGTGCTCATTAAAAGGACCTTACTTAAGCAACATGTGGCTAATATCAGCAGGTTAGTTAACCAGCAGCTCATCCCAGATTAATGCAGTTCACTGAATTTTGGAGAGTAAATAAGGAAAGGATTTAGTGGGAGCACATTCTCACAGCTGGATGATCACCAGGCCAGGAAGCTCTCTCTCATGGCTCTTGAGCATGGTCAGTGTGAAAGGTTGTTATGCACAACCAGAACCCTCTTGTTGACCCTGTGATGCTGGCACTTCTAAAATAAGATGTGGGAAAACACAAACTTGTTTAAGTAAAAACCAACCCGTGATAAGATTATACAGTCAGCAAAAATCTGTTTATTTAACTGTGCAGACAGACTGTTTACCAGTGTCTAGAAATCAAGCAGGATAAAACTATAATAGAAATAATTTTTTTTTTCCTACTAGAACAGTCTATGGGATGTTTCTGACATCTGATAGATTTTTCTGGCAGGAAAAAATCAAGACTCAGCCATTCTTGTAAAAGATCTGCTCTAGTGTAACAAGACAGATGAACAGTGGTTTATGGCAGTGGTTTTGTATATAATACCAGGTATTCAATTACATGAGCCATATTAATTTTTTCAGTCCTGTTAGCTCAGTTAATATCCCAGACCATGTGAAGGTGATGGGGAGCTTGCCCTGGGGTTTCACCTGAACTCAGCATGATTTTTGTTTCTGCTGTTCTATGATGCAGCTCACATTTGGATGGGCTACTAAAAAGGTCTAAGCACTCTCACCTGCCAGTGATTTACACTTAATTAATTCTGTGTCTGTAGTAACAACTCCAATCCAAGCTGCTGATTGAGGCTGGATGCAAAGAGAAGCTGTACAACCAGCATTAACATCTACCCTTTGTATTTTAAATAGAAAACAAAGAAAAAAATATGATTAAAACAGCACATCGTGGTCTACTCTTCCCCGGATGGATGCATGAGGCAAATCCACGAGAAAATAGCAAGTTCTTTTGAAAG